AATTAGATACACCTGTAAGGCTTGCTCTGCCTGGAAGGGGTGCGTGTGTGTGTGTGTGTGAGGGGGAGAGTTTAAAAAAGGAAAACTTATGACAGGAAGGGGTGGCAAAAAAGAGGAGGGCTTCTCTATCTCAGACTGCTGACCACAGCAAGCGAAGAGCCAAGGGGGAGATAGTTGCAAGACTCACTGCTCCAGAAGCTGCAGACAAGCTGCAAAGCAGGATGCTGCAAGAAGCATGGCTGGAGGTAGACCCTAATAAGACAATAGACTTACTTATAGGCCAATCCCAAAGTCTGAACCCAGAAAGACTGCCTGAGAGCCAGGCCACCTTTGCTTTTATTTGCTTTCACTTAGATTCCCCTCTTTCATAAGGGAAGGGAAAGAAAGGAAAGGATCCTTCTTATAGAATCCCTCATATGCTATGAACTTGGTGGAAGAACTGTCCCTGGGAGGACCCTTTCAGTGTGCAAAACACCCATTAGGGTCTCACTCATTCACCAGGGTAAGCCACTTGACTTCATCATCTCCTTAGACTGAACCTCTAAGCCTTTAGCACCCCTGCTTCACACTGTGAGCACCTTTCAGTGAGTCTACTCGAGTTGGACATCAAGAAAAACTTGTACACCCAAAGGGAGCAATGCACACCCACCTTCAGCATCTGCTGTGACACTCAGCCAGTATTGTAAAAGCAGTAGGATTTATTAGATGTCTGGAACACAACAGTAAAAGTCCTTGTTTAGCATAAGGAACAGAAAGTTACACCATGATCCATCTTGGTCAGCCCAGAGCCTTCTGACTGCTCTCTTGTCCCAGTTCAGGACAGTCTCAAGTTTCCAGCAGCCCACTCTTAACAACCCCCTACCTGGCCCCTCCTCAGTCCTTGTTCTTGTCCCTGGGCAAACATTATCAGCCCTTTGTTCTTCAACTGGTCAAACATGGTTGGTTTCCTGAGGTGGGGTGGCCCCTGCTTGTTAGTTGCTAGGTACCTAATGTCAGGGCAGTGGGAGTAACCATTGTCTTCTCAGAATGGGGCCTGCACTCCATGTCCAGGGAGAGACTGGTAGGCATCAGTAACCCCTGTATGTCTGGGTCTGTGCACAGAATAAACAATCTTTTCTCACCACCTATATGCAGCATATAGGGGAACCTGAGGCATACACTATTCATATAAAATATTACAAAAAATTCCCATGCTGTCACAAGGATATTATAAACAACTTGAAGAGGCGTCTGGAGGGCATTGGGGAGCCCCTACCCTTCACAACCGGTGAAAATAAGACCAACAGCAAAATAGGCTATTTTTACAAAATAAATTCTAATGACTTTGAAGGCCTAGAAGCAAGTGCTCCTGTGTCTTATCAGAAAATGGTTAATCTTCTCTTTCCAACAGTCAAAAGCCCTTGTTTGATATCTTGCAGTGTTGTGAGGTATTAGAGATTTGGAGAGGCTTAATGTGGAGAGAGCAAATGAAGTGGTCAAAGGTGCATGAGATCTTATCACACGGATATCACCTCCATAACTCATGATTATATACATGGAAGTGCTGGTGAAGCTCCTAAAACCCGTTTCTAATAGAAAAATGAAACAAGGGGAATGGGTTATGCAATTGTTAACAATGGTAGAGTGGCATTAATTACTCTGATGATAAGAAGGGGGATTTAATAGCAACAGGTGGTATTCCTTATTCCTCCGTCACATCACTTCTGAGACATTCCTTTATGTTGCTTATTTGTTGATGTTTAGAGGTGTGTTTGCTTTTATTTATTGTAACACCTGAAGAAACAAAACCAGCACAGTTAATGAATTTAAGCTGTTTGTTGGTTCTGCATAAATACTTACATGAACCAATTTTCTAAGCAAATTGTAACAGTACTAAGTCTCACCAAGACACAGTGAGTGACTATCAACATGACAGTGAATGTGACTTAGGAACAATGACAAAATAATTGCATGAAGCATGTGAAGAAATTGAGATATAAAATGACTCCCTGTGAATGTTTAATAGAAGCTTTTTCCAAGTCTCAATTGATCTGGAGAAAAACCAAAGACTGCAATACTAATTTTACCTTATAATGTGGGATAGTCATTTAAATGTGTTAACTAAATCTCCCAGTACAAAACCATATTGTCCTATCAAAAAATTAGTAAGGCAATAAACTGACTTCTGAAGCTGGCACTAGGTGTTCTAAACTCTTAAGGGATTTTTTTCATTGTCAACTAACTGAGACTGAAGATATGAGGTCTCTTCTCTCACATTTTCAGACTTTCACTCTTCTGCCATATTTCATAAGATCATGTAGGACAGAATTCTGAGGCACAATACTTAGGTAGCTTATTAACCTAAGCTGACCTTACAAAATGCACTTAGGTGTGCAAGTGGGTAATCTTTCATGGACAGTGTACTGCTACTTGGAGATGCAGAAACACATCTAGCCAAACAGGTGACAATCTATGTGGCTACCAATTTTGAGAACGCAACTGCATACTTTGTAGGCCTGATTACTAGTGTGTACCCACAAACATAGTATTTATCAGTATACAGGCCTCTAGAGTCTTATTTTCCATTGCCTTCATCCTTATGTAGCAACTCCAGACCATACAATTTGGCGGCATTTTATAATCCCTTTGTGTAGCTGTTCTATGGAATGAAAACAATTTAAAAATACATCCTTGGCAAACCCCAAAATGCCATGACACTCAAGCCAGGACCCTTAGCATTAGGGCGTTAAACATTTAAACATTCACTTCTCAATTCTACCAACTTATATGTCTCTCAAAATATTTAGTGACACTAAAATGCCATTTTACAGGTTAAAAATAGTCTCTTACGCATCTTGATAGGGACTTCATCTGTCCTGATTTCCGAGGAATCAAGATTTTGCCAAATAGCAGTATGGCGCTCATTAGAATGCAAAGCCAAATTAAAAACAAATTTTGCAAATTTAATCAGTATAGTACATTGGTTTTGGAGGCTTGCAGCTGTTAAGGTCAAAAGTGCCACAGTTTTCTCCCATGTTCACTACTCCTCTTACATCAAGAATCATGCATTCCTAGACATTGGACATTCAACCTACAGATTTTTCATAAACTATTTGCTTTGACTCTGAGGTAGTTACCACCAGCACAACTCAGGTTGGAAAGCATCATAGAATGCCTTGGACCATGCTTCCTTCATGAGGTGAAACTATCTAAGCTCTGACTTTGTATGTGTCAGGACAAATGGTTCCATTTGTTTACACTGTAGGTGGAGAAGTGTGCAAGATTTGGACTTGACTCTGAAAGCAGACTCCTATTAATGGGGAAAACATAGAGATAGTCCTACTGGATGAGGCCAGTGGCCCATCTAGTTCAGTATCCTGCTTCTGAAAGTAGATGCTACCAGTTGCAGTAGGGAAGAAATCTTGAAGTAAGTGGTTATGGGCTAATCTGCCCCAGAGAAACTTGTCTCCTGACACCCAGTAGCTAGAAGTTGGCTTATGACACAAAACTTGAGAGCTTATATTCCCTTCCAAGTGATATACAATCACTGTGCTGCTCCATTAGGTTCCCTGAACTAATATTGTGCAATAGAAATAAATATAACTTTTTAGAAAAGGGATTGAATCAATGACCTAGATCTGATTACCCTTAAACTTTGTGTATATGGTGGACTGGGAGTGGAGATCGTGAGAATTCAGATCTTGATCCAAATTTTACATTTGGCACCTAATGGGTCTCTAATGAACTGGAGAAAACCATGGATCCACACATATCTTTCCACTCTTGAAAATTTTGAAATCTAGAACCTAAATTTGGCTAATGGGCTTATCTCTAAATCAGAGATCAGCAACCTTTGTCACGTGGCCCTCCAGGGTAAGCCCCCTAGCGGGCCAGGCCGGTTTGTTTACCTGCTGCATCCGCAGGTTTGGCTGATCGCAGCTCCCATTGGCTGCAGTTCGCTGTCCCAGGCCAATGGGGGCTGAGGGAAGTGGCGGCCAGCACATCCCTCAGTCCACGCCGCTTCCCGCAGCCCCCATTGGCCTGGCACGGCGAACCATGGCCCGTGGGAGCTGTGATCGGCCGAAACTGCAGATGCGGCAGGTAAACAAACCAGCCTGGCCCGCCAGCGGGCTTACCCTGACAGGCTGCATGCCAAAGGTTACCAATCCCTGTTCTAAATGTTCAACATCTTCTTCAGTCTTTTTTTTTTCTACTGTACTATTTTTCACCTAGTAAACACAACTATCAACTATATCCCAAAAGCTGGTCTCCTTTCCTTGAATGCATATTCCATGCTTGCCACCTGAAACTTCTGGAGTTCTTCCCTTCCCAACACTTCCCCTAAACAAACTTATGATGTGTTTTCCCTGTAGAATAATGTTTAAGAGCCTTACAGTTCAATATTCACAAACCTCTCAACTCATGCCTTTTATAAGGTGGTTCAGTGGCATCCTGCTGGTTTGTGCATAAAGCATATTAGAAGCATTAAATCAAGGCATCACTACTCACTTAAGCTGCCTGAACTGGGACTTGTTTTTACTTAAACAGCACAAAGTGTAGGTCATAGCATATGAGCTAGCAGATGTGATAGTGAAATATTTGCCTATGGGAGCTGTGGCCAATCATTCCTCACCAACATTAAAGCACTAAAGATGTTGGAGTGTGTTGCCTTTTACAGCCAATTTTTATCAATTTATGAGCCCTTAAATTACTGTACAACCTAATGGATTAAAGCATTAGTGATGGGTACAGTGCATGGTACCTTGGCTGCCTCTGGAGACCTGCTGCCATGGTTGTATATTTCACTGGGAGATGGCTGAAGCAATGTATTGTTTACCATGGAATTCCAGTGGACATGGCACTCAGATATTAAAGAGATAAGTGACATAAATACCACAGAAACAAAGAGATACAGCTGTTTAATCAATGTTTCATTGTTTGACATTTGAAAACAAAAGGAGGGGAAGATTTGAGGCTTTTACTGCAGTGAAAAATCCTAACACTTGACTGACTTCTTACAGAGCATGAAGGCACTGTGTAGCAGGAAGAGCACATGCTTCTCCTGATGTCTGGATCCATACAGCTGTCCAAGCATGGATTCTCTCTCTGTACTTGGCACCAAATTCATCTAAGCAGGTAAACAATCTGAGGTCCTTCCTTTTGGGTAACCAGCAGATTGTCCCCTTTATAGTTACCTTTTCTCCGAGGGCTCCAACTGTAGGCTTTGTTCTTCTAGACTGCTAGGTAAACGAACTAGCTCGATGCATTGCTGATAACAGCTTGTTCCTTGAACAAAACTGTACAGATAAGAATCCCAGGACATTCTTGTTCAGGTGAATGCAAACTGTCTCTTTCCTGTTTACACAGACTCTTATCTCCTTGCTGTGTGCCCCCTAGTGGCCACATTGAATTGTAGCTCTAAACAGCCACAATTAACTCCACAGAGCTGAGAGGTCACACTCATGTACCTTCACCCTGCTGAAGCTCCCCTGGGTTTCCTAATGTAGCTCTTCCTGACCCTATGTCATGCTGCTGCTGGACCACTGGGACATGTTGGCTGGAAAAAAAAAATATGGCCCTGCAATAAAATAATTTCCTTCATTGCTACTGATAGTCCCAGGTAGAGGGCAACACTGTGAGGGGGTGGAGGAAGAGACCCCATGGTAGAGGGCCCAGGGAAGTGGCATTCCCTACCATCTGAGTTCAGAAGAAGCTTGATCTCAATGCCTTTGTTGGTGAGGGGCAACACAATCGTGCTCATAAAAGACCCTGTAAGGCATTCCTGGAAGATGGCCACGGAAGAGACCCTGCCAGGACTTTTCACAGCTATGATAAGGGAAGTGAAGAATGTAGGCCACATTTTTGAGTAAAATTTGATGAGAATCTTTATGTAACCATTATCTGGATATTACAATGACAGGTGCATCAGGTAGAGAGAATTCAGATTTACTTATAAGTGTATATTAAATAGCAGTGGAAATGTCTGAAAGGTTTTTAAATGAAAAATAGCCATGGGTTGTAACTAGAATCCTTACACTATAGATGAAGCAAGAAAGTTCAGTCTGCAATTCACAGGTGAATGTCGAAGACGGAGAGAGGTTCCTAGCAAACTTGAAATGGTGTCAGCAGAGAAAGAAGTCTCTTGCTTTTGGAACAACTTGTTGACAAGCGGTAGTCAGGTGTGACCGTCACAAGTACCTTCAATTTGTTCCAAGTACATGTTTTTCTGTCTGCTCTCAATGGTAGCTAATTAAAACATGATAGTTATGCATATTATGAAAAGTGAGACAGCAGTTAGATCAAGATTGGTGTGTTTTGTGGGTTCTATCTTGCAAGGTGCTGACCACCACAGCCCCAATCTAATCAGTGGTCTTACTGATTTTAATGAGACTGCTTTTCATGCGGCTGGATTACTGGATTGGAGTCAGAGTGTTCTGCACATTGCAGAACTGAGTATTCTAAACTTTGGGAACAGATGGAATTGACTGATGAGATACTGATGTTTGTTTTTGATTTAAAATAACTCAGTATTAAAATGTTTATTAATATGTTTAAGCGAATGCTTAAATTAAAACAAGATAGGAAAATGCGTATGTCTACAAAAACTTGCCAGACAGCCAAGAAAGAACTCTTACCCTCACTTCATTCCCATTTAGGCTGTCTGTTTTTATATATTTAGTAACAAGGCCATAATTGCTTTTGCTTCTTATATCACTAAAAAGTGATATTTTATAAGCAGGCCTACACATTCACTAAAAGCAACATTACCATACCCTACTCTCCCCCTGCCCAAACTTCTGTAGTGTGTGAGACTCTGAAACCAAAGACATTTGTCCCCTCACTCTTTTACTTTTAAAGAATTTAAAGATCTTATACATATGTTCATCAACCAAAATATGAAGTTAGGTTTCACCATATGACTGATATAGCAGTATTTGGTGATGCAGACAAATTTTATTTCCATTTCTTGTCACTTGAACTTTTAATGTGATTACCATTATTGATAGCAATATGGAAGTGTTGCTTTGATAATTCTGTATGTGTCATATTTGCTATATATACTGACTTAACATTTGAATTTTTCACAAAAAAAAAACCACTTAAAGTCTGAATCAAGCCATGACAACCTTGGTATAGGGCATTTCCTGGAGGCTAATGGTAATCTGGGAACACTCAATAGTTTGGAGCCATTAACTCCAGCTGCTCATTAATTTCCAGGAAATGATCTTTGCCCTATACTAAGGTAGTCGGGTATTATAAACTGGAAATGAAGAAAAACATAAATGTAGTTTGAATCAGTAAATATACACAGGACATTTCTAGAGAATACTAATATCCTGGACACTCGCTAAATAGTTTTAATTATCCATTAATTTTATCACTTAATGGCTTCTGCCCTTCTGATGGCTTCCACAGCAACTGATTTTCTAAGAAAGGTTGCCATGTTAGCCCTTCTTATATTTGTCTTTTTCTGAGGCTGACACCTGAAGGTTTTTAGTATGTAAGGCAGGAATGTGTATATGCGAGCTTCTGCTCAGATTATATTTTATTACATCACAGTACCAACACAAGGCTATTATCACTATCTGGAGTAGTTCATGACCATGAGTGCCAACCTGAGGGCAGATTGTCAAAAATGGGTGGTAAGTTCGATACATTTCACCAACCCAGTAACAAGTGTGAATTCCTGAAGCACCGTAACAATCTTACCATAGAGCCACAGACAGTCCCCTTGAGCACTCCAGTCTATTTTACCACCCAGACAAGTTGGACTCAGTGATAGTTGGTTGCCATATACCAAAGATCACAAAAGATTCAGGTTGCTTCCAGTCGCAAGAGATCAGTCACTTACCCAAGATCACTTTTTGCACCTTTGACCTCAAACCAAAGATGATGCTTATAGCCAATCCTGTAGTAAACTATCTAAGGATTATATTAACTTGGAAAAATAAATGAGTTATGTACAGGTTAACACCGGCAACATATCTACACAAATGAGTTACAGTCTGTGGTTCAAAAAGGTGATAGACTTAGTAATCTATGAGCACTGAATGTCTTTTAGAGCTAAACCAGGTTGAGCCTGGGGATCTCTGCTTTTGTTTCCAAGCTCCAGCCCTGAGAGAGTCCAAACAGCAAAGAGAGAACATTTTCTTTTGTCTATGTTTTATACCTTTCTTCCAGCGTTCAAGCTCATGGGACAGGCTTTCTTGCATGTAGCACCTTCATGGGTGTGAAAGGGCCATTAACCCAGTCTTTGCATCATGATGTTCCACAATGGCCCATTTAGTTTAGATAATCCTTGATGGGCAGTGGAATCATTCCTCTCTGGTTTCAGAAGTTAGGAGCAGACATTTTTTAAACAATTATAAAGCAAAACTTTATAGCATGGGAGACAGACATTACAAATAAGATTAATGCATGCAGTGATTTATAAGCATTTTAGAGTCTAAACACTGAACATATCCTTACGAGTCTAACAACTATCTGGAGCAATACTAACATACAGGTGAAGTAGTTTGGTTTTCAGCTATGAATCTATCAGTGCTCAGCTGATGCCTACAGCCTTGGCAAGTGCAGCCACCTGGCCTATAAGTGTCATAATCACCTCATTTGCCGAATTCAGTGTCCTGATGCTCACACCCATGTTCCCTCTTTGCCAATTGGTAATAAAATGCTGGGGCCTTGCAAGTTGGCATGCTAGTACAGTAGAGACCAGTGATGGAGTGTTTGCATATATTCTAAGCACAACTTTTTGCATACACCTGACCTGGAACAGAGGACATTGCAGACAACACACATGCTGTCATCCACATGTGCCAGAAAACTCACCCCACATACCGGTGCCTGTTTCTTGGGAAGCTGATCTGTCCCAATTATCATCAAGACAAATCCTAAAGGAGGTATGTGACCTCCTTGTAAATCAAGAGTCACTCAGATCTCTCTCTCTGGCAAGCTGGTTGCATGATTGCCAGTGATGGACAAATTGAATATAAATCTTGTTGTGCCACCAGAGATTTTCACACCTACATGATCGCCAGTTGTGCAGTGTATTCCTTGGTGTACACACTTTGGAATTTGTTGGTCTTCAATTCTTATAATAAGTGCATCTTAGAAAAGCTGCTGAAATCAAACCAATGCTGATGGTGGTGGTTACTGGATTCAGCTTTGAATATCCTCATTTCTGACCTTATCCTGCCACTGGATATGTAGTAGTTGACAGACAGTGAGAATCAGGAACATCAATCCAGTGTTCTTCAGCCTTCCTCAGTGCCCACATTTCACTTCTGTACAAAGAGTTGGTATAACTGTTGTTCTATAGCTCTTTAGCTTTGTAGCAAGCTTGATACCACAATGTCCCCACAGAGCCTGATGAAGGGCCCAGAATACAGCAACAGCTGCTTATATAAGAACAAAAAGAAAAGGAGTACTTGTGGCACCTTAGAGACTAACCAATTTATTTGAGCATGAGCTTAAGGTGCCACAAGTCCTCCTTTTCTTTTTGCGAATACAGACTAACATGGCTGTTACTCTGAAACCTATATAAGAACAGATCTTTGAATTGCCTATGGCCATTGAAGCATTCGAGACTGAAGTCTCACTCCCTCTGTCATTTCATGAGTGGATTTCAAGTCATCAGTGCAGACTGCTACAGCTCAGCGCTGGGGCCTCAGCTCTTTAAACATCATCCAAGGATCAGTGGGGAGACGCTCAGGGCAGTTGGAGCTGAGAAAAAAGCAACGCTACAACTTGAGTCTTTAAAGAGACGTTTGCCAAGAGCAATCCCTCTTCCATTTGAAAAGGGGCAGAAAATGCCAGTAGAACTACCACTTTTGAAGCAAGAGGAGATCCCAACCACAATCCATAAGCTGCTACCAACTAGCAGTTTTCTCCCTGTTTTACTTTCTCCGTCTGCCACAGCTTCTCTATTGACATAACAAAATTAACAATATAAACAATATACTTGTTTCTTTGAGAACTAAAAGCTTTCTTTCAAATTGGGAGAACTCATAAGACTGTATTACAGTGCCATCTGCTAACTTCTGCCATAACAGCTGTGCTGTAACGTGTTTTGGTTGTGGATGAATGGGTCAGATTCTATTTTAGACCTTACATTGGTGGAAATAAGTAACTTGACC